GATTTAGGATTCAGCTGCGAAGCCTTGATTTTGTAAATCAAGGCCTAGAAGAATATGATTTGAATGAGCATTTAAAAAATTTTACATCTTTGGCAAGAAAGGCATGGCAGGATTTTATTACTGAAGTGTTTGTTAATGGAAATAATTCATCTTCATTTAGGCTAATACCAATCACGAATCAAGAAGTGAAAATGCTAGAAAGTGAAGAAAGTATGACCAAAACCGAAATTTTACTAAAGATAGAAGTCCTTCTTGAACAGCTTGGTGAATTTTTCCAAAAGAAATATTCGGGCTTAAAGTCAAAAAAAAAAAGTGAATTATTGGATATATTACGAGAAGTAAGGTGTTCAATTATTGTAGATGAATTTAATAACCAGGATAATTTAGAGATTCAGGAACGTGATACTTCATCAAAATAATAAATCGTGTATTGAACAACATACGGGTTTATGTAAAATTTAATTTAAATCTTTTATTAAGAGAATAAAGGGGTCAGGCTCGCAATTATATATAACTTTGTATCATTTTTTATAATTATTAAAATCAATACATATCGTAAAAATTACATAATTTACTTTGGGCATTGCCCTTTTAATCTAACAATGCCAACACCAAATTATACCTCGTTAATAAGTATGGAAATCAGCCAGGATCCCTCGAAAGTTCGGTTATCATTTATAAGTGACAATTCGAAAGTGCCGCAGCAGCTGCCAATAATCAAAAATATATTTTGGATAACCAAGAACCCGAACGTTCTATTTGAAAAAATATTTTCGAGTTATAAAAAAATAAAATAAAATTAGGTAACTTCGCTCATTCATATGACAAAATAAAATATATGCTGCGGCAATTTCATAGATAAGTGAAAGCCTGTAAATTGATTTCGGAAAACTCACAATTACAGGTTTTCCCTCAGATCATGTGCTTCGTTTCAGTCATAGATATACTAAACCCCAAACCCCAAAAAACAAATTGCTTTTATAAATAAATATAGCTATAAGAATATATATCATTTGTTTGAATAAAAATTATTAATAAAGTTTTTGAGATATTAATTTGGGCTTGGGTTTGGGATTTGGGCGCGGACAAACTCAAACTATAATAGTTTGGAATTTGGCCGGCAAGTATAGTTATAGAATGACGGGCTATATAGCATCTCAGTGTCACAAACTATAAGAATTATGACACTGAAAATATGATTTTTATGAATAGCATATTCCAGTATTCAGGTACATTACAGCATTACACGAATATGCAATGGCTAACCACAAAATTTTTAATTGTTGAGCCCAGCCCATCACTAAATGAAGGCATCCAATACTAGTATGGAGATTTATTTTTAAAATCTTTGATCATTCGGGTTAATAAAAAAAAAAAAAAGGTGAAAAATACGAAGAATATGAAAAACAGTAGTTCGACCCTGTTTTAGAGATGCACTTTTAAATATAATACAAATGCCTGCAGAAAATAAGTATTAACTTTACTAAAGATTTTTTTGTAGCATTTCGATTTAAAGCCGTAAAATTGATCTGTTTTCTAAAAAAAATATATCTAAGTATAATAACGCTGTAGTATCACAGAAGAAGATATATCTTGCGCGAAGTAAAGAAAATCTTAGCTGATAGTAACGAATTAAAAAATAGAGCATCACCAAAAATCTATAATCCGCTGAACTCTAAATTCGGTTTGATGCAAGACGATAATTGGTTCCTGTGTTTAGTTCTGGAATATTCAGATCTGCGTTTTTGTTACCAAAAAAGGAAT